GAACGTAATTTTATTGGCGGGTAAGTTTATCACGCGGCTGAGAACTTCTAGAGCGAAAATAAATTCCTCCCTTTTAAAAGTCAACCAATCAAATGTCACGATTTTATATATAAACTTTTTTACTAATAAACAATAAACCCCGGGTCCCCGGGTCGATTTTAAATTTCAATGTTACGTGAACCGAAAAATTGAATTTGTAATTTGTGTGGCCTAACAAAACAATAAACAATCATGTGATCTCGTGTTATGATACGGAATTTTTGTAAAATTATCTTCTAAATATATTAACCGTTAAGTTTAAAAATTCCGTATACATTCCGCATGATTAATTTTTTCCGTATACATTTTCTTATACATTAGTTTTTTTTAAAAAATGTTCAAAAATGAATTGCTTATTAAATATACGGAATTTGTATACGGAATCTATAGAAACGTACATAAAATGTATACAAAACGTATCCTTTCCGTATACATATTTCTTATAGGGTCTAAGCAAATTCATGATTTTCATCCGAGATTTTATGGTTTTAATAGAACTAAATTACTTTGTTCTAGAAAGATAATCGTTCTTGCATAGCAATCACCATGCATGTAACACCCAATTATCTTTCAATTTTTTTACTATGATCGATATATTATAAATTGAGGTGCAGCTCAATCATTGAACATATAGTATAGATCAAATGTAATGCCGCATTTGTACAAAATAATCCTCAAACTAAATATGGAAAATAAAACTTCTTGTTGGCCTCTAAGTATTTATTAAAAAATGCTTTGTTTTAAGTTATAACTTAACGAGAAGTTGGTGTTTTTTTTTCCCATTAAAATAAAAAATAATGTGTGGAGAACTTAAAATTTGTCAAATATAGTGAGCAATATAAGTCTTTAAATCAAAATAAAAAATATTTTATACATATAAATTTAAGTAAATTTTCAAATACAATTCAGATTCATATTAAAAAAAAATCTCCTTTTTTATTTTATTTATATAATTGTATCGTAAAGTTTTAGTTATTTTGGTAGTTTTTAATTGTTAAATAATCTATTTATTAAATATAAAGAATAATTAATATTAAAAAAATCTTAGTTAAAATAATGGATATTTCGTAGTTTTATTTAGTTAAAAATAAATTAATTATTCAAAAATAAGTATAGTAACATTATTTCATTCTTGTTTTCTACAATAAATGAAATTTTTTCATTATTTCATATTGAAAAACAGAAAATTTTTTGATAGATTCAATAATAACTAAAAATCCAGTTGGATAACCGGCTTTATTACCTTGGTAAAAGTGATTTCTTTTGTAAAATTATGACTAAGAATGATATATTTACTATTAGTTAAATATTTCTCTTTTAAAGTTTTTTTGATGTAAAAAAGCTCTTTTTACCAAAAAACCACTTTTTTCGTGTTTATATGAAACCTACTTGAAAACCCGCCTTTATAACCTTAGAAAATCTTTCTCCTCATGTAAAATTGCATGTATTTTCGTTGTTAGAATTGTATATTTGTACATACTTTTAAAATGATCTAAAAAACGTAAGTTTTCTAACTAAACTGTAAAGCCGGAGAAAAAAATTATTGCAAAATGGAAAATTAGCATTAAACTAGTAAAGCACATGACAATCTATGAAATTACTTAATTTGTATAGGAATTGCAAATTAAAACCAATCGATTATGGTTACACAAATTCCTCTTAATATGACAATAATCTGCATGTTACAATGTTACATGCGCAGTGATTGATAATTTACATAATTTGGAAAATTAATAATATGCGAATATAATTATATGTATATATATGTTTAGAATAGTTTTACAATTAACTGCACGTAGGAACAAATAGAAGAAAAATGTTTGAACCACAATGAGATGGAGTACAATATCTTGTTATTAGTTATTATTATTCTTTTTTGTATTTTAGGTACTTTATGAATTTACTATATTTGGTGTTCATTGTGAGTTTTAGAATGATTATACTACAAAAGTAATTATATATCTCAATTTGTCGTACACGATTATTTTTTGACTTTATTTTATATGCAAAAGAAGGAAATAAGTCTTTTTTTATTTTCCGTTTTTGTACTTCACTTTTTCCGTTTCCTTTCTCGTTGATTCGTACTTTCCATCATTATCTTCTATGCTGAAAGTTTATTTATTACGCCAAATACTTAGATATTTCCACTAGTTGATCATATGAATTCCAACTAAGTAAAAATGATGTATTAATTGTTAAACAGACTTTTCCGTAGTACTATGGTAAATTCTTAAGATTCCATGAGAAAATCTAGAAATACTTTCCGTATCACCAACAAAAGGCTCAAACTCCTGATAATTCAGATATAAATAAAATACGTACATTCAAATTCAAATTTTTCAAATTCGTTGTCTTATCGATACTTGTTTATAACATATTAATTAACTTAATAAAATGGAAATTGTAAATACAAATGATGAAAATTCTTTTGATCCAACACCAAGATTAAAATCTAGTCCTATACCAATTGAATTTATTTCTTTCAACTGGCTAGATAAAAATTGTATTTATTGTGGAGAAGAATATATTGAAGTACTTTTATGTTCTTGGCAAAAATATTGCAAAAAATGCTTATCACGTTATATTAATAATATAACTGATAATAATATATACTTGGACGTACAGTAACACCTCTCTAAGTGCACCCCCCTTGGGACCATAGTAAAAAAATAGTAGAATGTGCACTTAGAGAGGGTGTGCATTTATAGAGAGTAAAATATTAAGAGCTCTTATAAGTTGGGATCAGATCCACCGTGCACTTAAAGAGAATTTATATAGTGCGTGCACTTATAGAGGGTGCACTTATAGAGGTGTCACTGTATATATTTACACAACGGAATTGGAATGTAGTGAGCATGAAATAAGTAGGACAAAAATACCACAAAGTATTCAAGAATGCTGTAGAAATTGTGTGAGAATTTTATGTTTTAGACAAATAAATGGATATATTCATCTTGACCTTGATAAAAATGATCTCACATTCTCACTCATCTCACTCTAAACAATAAGGTGATTGAAAGTGTAAATCCATTATCATACACATATGGTAGTGGAAAGTATGGTCTTATTTTGTGTTCAGATTGTTATCTAATTTCTTTTGAATTGATAGAATCAACCTTGGTTAAAAAGCAAATTTCAATTCTTTACTTACCATGGTGGTGTAATGATACTCCGTGTGATATTTGTGAATTAAAATTAACGTTTACGTCAGACTGTCAAAAGTATTGTGAAAATTGTTTTATATTTTATGTTGGATGCAGATATTGCTTAACAACATCACTAAATTATTAGGTAGTCCGGTGACTATCCCTGGTCAAAATCGTAAATTTTACGTTAAGATTTTTACGTAAAATTAACGAAAAATGTGTCCAATAACTGTTAATGGACTATTAACTTATTAATCAGTATAATTATCATGATTTCGGACAGTAACCAGACAATACTGTCTTATAACCGAAATTTTAAAGGGGTCGTCATTTTTATTAGTATTAGCTTAGTGGTTTCAACTTAAATAAGTCAAAAACATATATATTATAAATTAAAAGTTTAAATAGTCTAAGTGATTAGATCACGAAAAATAAGTACCTCAGGTCCTAAGTTCGATTCCTAAGGTAAGTATAAGTTTATATATATTAAATATTATTAAAATATTTAATATTAAATAATTTTTTCAACAGATCGAACGTCCATATACCTGAAATTGACGGTTTACGGACGTACATAATATAACGTCCAACCTACGGAGGGTCCGTCAATGGACAGTTAGTGGACATATGTCCAATAATGGTTGCTGGTCAGCCTGAAAATTTAGTGATGAACAAACATTCTTTTTGGACCTACGGATCAATCTCAATGTAAAAAATGCAAAAGAATATCGCCCATAAATAGTGGTTTTGATGATTTTCTTTTTAATAATAATCTTATAACATGCGATAATTTTTATGATTTGAAGTTAGCTAAAATTGAAAATATTGTAAAAAATATAGATAAGTATTTTGTATCATCGAGCATATTAGAGTCTATATTTAAAGAAAAAATACAAGTAAAACAAAATGATAAGTGGATACCATATTCTCAATTTAAAGATGTAAAAGAAATGACAAGGGGGGGATATGGTATTATATATAGAGCAACTTGGCTTAAATATGACACTAGGAATCGGTTAATTAAAAATGAAACTGTCATTTTAAAAAGATTTGAAAATTCTAAAAATATTGGCACATATTTCTTAAATGAGGTAAAATATTTTAAATATATCTTATATAATTTATTTTAAATAAACTAAATTTTAATTTAATTTAATCTTTAAATTATAGTTAAAATCATATTATCATTGTTTTAAAGACAAAAAGGGTCATATCATTAAAACTTATGGCTTTACAAAAGATCCTGAATTAGAGGATTATATAATAGTTATGAAATATGCATCAGGAGGAGATTTACATAAGCATTTGCAGAAGGATTTTGCAAGAATTAAATGGGATAGTGAAAAATTACGTATTTTACATCAAATTTCAGCAGGGTATTTATATTTTACATATTTATTAATTTTCTTTAAATTTAAGTTATTAATTTTTTTTTATATTTTTAGACTTGAAACTATTCATAATAAAAAATTTATACATCGAGACTTCCATAGTGGAAACATATTATTTGATCAACAACATAAAAAAACGTTAAATGATGATTGGAAAATTGGAGATCTAGGATTATCACAAGCTGTAAATAGTGAATCATCAAATAATGAAATATATGGAGTAATACCTTACATTGCACCGGAAATATTTAGAGGGTCTATATTTTCTAAAGAAGCTGATATTTATAGTTTGGGTATGATTATGTGGGAACTTACAACAGGTTGTAAACCTTTTGATAATGTTGAACATGATCATCATCTTATTTATAAAATTCTTGATGGAGAACGACCTAAAATTACAGAAGATACACCAGAATGTTATGCT